TATATATAATACATATATATAATTATATATAATTATATATAATACATATATATAATTATATATAATTATATATAATACATATATATAATGCATATATATAATTATATATATATGAGTTACATGATTAACTTACATTGACACAGTCAATACATGTGCACAGACACATACACAAGAAACAATAGAGGAAGAAAGGTTAATAAGATATTATGGTATACTAAGATCTTTTGTTGTAACTATCTTTGTGTTTGAGACTTTAATTATCTTGAGTAGGGATTCATTTGATAGAGCCTGAAGCTAAATCACTAATTGTTATGAAATTCTTTAAATTATTTTTTTAAAAAATCGTGTGTATGGTGATGAATGGTTGTTATCCCAGCACATGGGAAGCTGAGACAAAAGAGAGTTTAGGGCCACCCAGGGCTCTAGAGTGATAATCTATTTAAAAAACAAAGATCCAGCAAAAACAACAATAAGAGAATCTAAAACAAGAAACAAAGAAATTCATTATTTATATTTGTTGATATTACACACATTAGATTATAACCTTACTTTTATTGGAGAATATTAATAGTTTTACAGAGAAAGTTGTTGTTGGATCATGAGAATTAACTCCCTACAGTCTTGACACCCTAACCCTGTCAAGGGTGAATGAGGAGGAGGAAGAGGTCTCTGTAGCTCTATTTCTGAGTAGGCTTCTTTCTCGGGGATTTGTTTGCACCAAGTTAATAAATGGGGTGGGGTGTGTGTGTGTGTGTGTGTGTGTGTGCTCACAGACTTGAGCAATTGTTGCTTTATAAGAAAAATATTTTCGTTTGGGGAATTGTAGAGATGGCACAATGTTTCAGAATGCTTGCTGTACTTTCAGAGTTTCTTGCATCCACATCTGGTGGCTTACACCAGTCTCCAACTCCAGAGGATCAATGCCCTTTTCTGGCCTCTGAAGGCATGTTAATTGCACATGCACAGACTCAGCTACCCTCATACATGTGAATAATACTTTTAAAATATTTTACTTTTCATATTTTATTATCTGCTAGCTAAGTGAAATTCCATATTTTTATTCTTCCATATACTTTCAAAGATTGTAGTTTTACAGTATTGCTTTTATTCAGAGCTAAACATTCTATAATTAATGTATTTTATTCTAATGTAAAAATGCCTGAAACTTGTGCTTGCCCCTAGATATAAAACATACTGTATTGGAACCAGCACCTAAAATAGCATATAACCAGTACAGCTTTCTGTCTTTTATCCCCCTGGATGGCTTGAAATAATTTTACTATGTAGTCTTTAACTCTCCATATAATGCAAGCTGGTCTTGAACTCCCATACTTTGTGGCTAAGCCTCTCAAGTGCTGGGATTGGAGATGGTGTATTTCCCCAAGCCAAGCAAGGCATCTCTTTCTCTCTATATATATATCTGTCTCTGTCCCCTCTGTCTCTGTCTCTCTAGGTCTCTGTCTCTGTCTCTCTCTCTGTGTCTCTGTCTCTGTCTCTCTCTCTCTCTCTCTCTCTCTCTCTCTCTCTCTCTCTCTCTCTGTGTGTGTGTATGTGTGTAGATGCACATCGATCTGCAAACATTAATTGGCCAGAAGGTGGTGTTGGGTACCTACACTTCATTGTCCACCTTATTATTTTCAGACAGAGGCTCTCTCTGAGCTTGGAGCTCACTGTCTTTTTGCTAGACTGACTTTCTATAAATGCCCTGGGTTCTCCCTGTCTTTATCTTCAAACATAGTTCTTCTGCTTACATATATAGCTATAGTGTCCAGGTAGTAAGCGGGTCTTGGTGATCTAAACTCAGATCTTCCTGCTTACACAGCAGGACTTTACCAGCCGAACCATTTCCCCGTTCCCTGAAACCTTAATGTTCAATAGTAAGTATTATATTTCATGGATGTTACTGTTACTAGGTAAAGAAAAAAAAATTTAGATAACTTTACTTGATAATTAATTCTCAGCATCCGCAGTACATGGCGTGCCTGAAGTAAAAAGTTAATATTATTTCAATGTGTTACAGTTGTGTAATCAAAATACATGAAGACAAGTAACATGGTTTGTTTCCTTCCAGAAAGCCACATCCTGGAAGATGTCAACAAATGCATTATAGCCTTGAGGGATCAGGATGCTGACAATTTAGACCGAGCTGCAGGTGCCATCAGAGGACGGGCCGCGAGAGTAGCTCACATCGTCGCGGGTGAAATGGATAGTTATGAACCCGGTGCTTACACCGAAGGTGTGATGAGAAATGTCAACTTCCTTACAAGCACTGGTGAGTCTCTGTCCACAGTGACAGCTGCGCTTTTGCTCAGGTCTGAATCTGCATAGCAACCAAAGATCTACACATAGGAAAACGATGGCTCTTGGGCTGTGTCACTTGATTTCTCACCAGCATATCACTGTGCTGTCTAATTTGGGTTTGATATCCTATTTGTGTGATACGAACATTATCCCAGTGAAATAAATATATTCATTGAGGAAAAAAAAACAACAAGATCTTTTCAAATACATGCAATACTCCCAAGCCTTAGCCACTTGTGAGTGTTTATTAATGTTGGAGATGTTTAGAACTATAATTAGGCCAGCATGGGGTTAAGCATCCAATAGTCAGTAGCCTTTCATTTGGCTATATTATTGCTACCCCTGAGTTTCTTATTATTTACCCATAGCAGGTTTCTCCTATGTATGCAGAGACATGCTGGCTATCCTTAATGTGCAATTCTATGGAAAATAGCATTCCGATTCTTGCCCATATTTTTCTCTCATTGTTTAAGAAATATATAATACAGGACTGTTTTGGTTGCAGTACTCAAGTTACTATTTTATAAAATTGGGCAGAGAATGCTTTGCTTTGAGTCTCTCAGTATAATGATATTTTCTTTTCAAATACTATTGTTAACATTTCTCCAAGGGACTCAGGGAAATGTCAGGATTCACACAGATTCATGAGCAAAGATGACAGTCAACAATGTTTTATAAATCATCATAGCAGAAACTCCTTCTTGTGAATTCCCTCCGTCAATGTGACACTCCTCTGAATTTGGAAAGCCTCTCATATATTGCCTCTTGATAAGGGTGTGATGTTGTGTCTGGGATTCCTGCAGTATTTAGTTTTCAGGTTTACATCATCATCCCTCACGGAATGTGGCGGGCATGCTAATTATGAAGAAATTCATATTGTTTGTGAAAGGGAGGAATGCACAATACTTTTTAATTTTATCACTTTAGTCTACGGTGTTTGAATGTGTTGTTCATGCACCATATGTATGTCTGCCCTCTGAGAAGAGAGGAGGGCATCTCATACCCTGGAACTGGTATTATAGATGGTATGATCCACTATGTGGTTGCTAAAAATTGAACCCAGATCCTCTGCAAGAGTAGCTAGTGTCCTAGCTATTAAGCCATCTCTCCAGCTCTGATGAGTGATATTTAAAACCAACCAACCAACCAACCAACAGACAAAACAATGGCAATGAAACATTTAATACCATTTTACATCTTGAAGCTCTTTCTTGAAATTATTTATGGGAAATCAATCAACTTTCTTATCATCTCTCTAAAATATTGCAATGTTCTGAGGAAAGGTGGCAATGGCCCATCTATCACTCTTGATATTAAACTATTATTTGCACACCCACTCCTCAAAGTTATTAATGTAACAAAACAAGCATATAGTTATGGTGGTACATTATTACAAACCCAGTACTCAGACTAGATGGACATGGATCCTGAGATGTAGTGTTATGATAAATTGAAGACCAGCCTGTGCTATAGCTTGAGACCCTGTCTCAAAACAAACAAAAACAATTGAGAACATGCAAGTCATACCTTTCATTGTGTGAAAATATATGTACTTGCTTTGGAAGTTGATTGTGTTACCGTCACTTACTGTCCCTTTCCTAGTACACCAGATTGAAGTGGTCTTTCACCCGTTCAAATCAAGACTTGTTATCCATTTTACAAGGTAATAATGGTTTATTCTGGTGACATTTTGAGTAAACATAGCCTTAGAAACATAGTTATATCTTGTTCCAAATCCCATGATCCAATGTGGTAGCAGTTTCATGACTTTTTCTAAAACAAAGAAATTCATAATCACGATAAGTTTTAGAATACGCTGGTAGGCACATCAGAAAAAAAGGTAGTTACAGAAAGATGGGGGAAGCCTTTCTATAGGCCTAATATACTGTCTGATGACATTCTTTGCTTTGAGTAGGTGGGAACTAGAATCTGCTAAGTTAATGGTTTCTATTCTTCACCTTCTGAAAATGACATTTTAAATGTAAGAGAAAATGTATGTAGCTTTTGTTTTTATCCAAATGGAAATTTCCTTTGGGGTGGAATAGCCAACGTCGACCAGGATGGCTGCACCTTGCTTGTGGCTCAGTTTTGTGAATGCATTAGGGAAGTCTCCCCTGCAGGTTTATGCCATAACATCTATATGAGGTGCCAACTCTGCAGTTTTGTACTCCATAGGCAGAGACTACATCTGCCAGATACTCAAGAAGTGGGAGTGAATTCCTACAGTGTTCAGAACTGTTGGCAGTCACTCTACATTAGAAAGAGTGAGGCAAAATTGTTCAGAGGCAGAAATACATTCTCTTTAATCCATCTGTGATTAATAATGGCTGTGCTGAATAGCTAAGCACCAATACAACATCTTCACAGACCAAAGAGCACACAAACTCCAGTCCTTTTTCTCTATTTAGTTATAGGATAATGTTAGTTTCGATAGCCCATTCAAATTATGTCTTATATCCCAAATAGGAGATGTATAGAATATTTCCAGGCTCTTCTGTACAAAATGAATCTTGTTATTAAATAAAAAGCATATTTCGAGATTCCTAATTAATCATTTTGGTCTTTTCTTCAGACAAGCTTTGGGTGCATCCTTGAAGTATGCCTCTGTTTTCCTCTTTGAAAAAAAAAAAGTCTAATTTGAACTTTTTTCCAAGCAGCTTTCCTTGAAATTTATCAAAAGCAGGCCTCACAAAAGGGAATTCGGTGCAATAAATTAAATGGAAAACATAATTAGATCAGTTTGATCTTAACCAAAGCTGAAGACAGTGTGCTTTCTCTCTCCCATGGAGAGATTGTCTATGAAAAAAAAAATACTTCCAACTCTTCTGTCCTCCACCATTGACTGACATCTTTGTTCACCCCAGGGTCATATCTTGGACTTATCATTTAAATAATTAGCAAATTACATAATTGGAAATGTCATGCTTTGTGTTCCAAAGCTTTGGGAGCTCACATTTTAGCAAAAGAACACTAATGTGGCCTGTTGTCTCTTTGTTTCATTCTCTTTTAGCTGTTTCTTCAGGCTTAGCCCAGCTTCCTCAAGATAACTTAGTGGGGGTCTCCTGTGAATTTTCTTTATTCCTAAGACACTCCCTGGAACACTACTCTTTAGAAAATTTGCCTTAAGTATCTTTGTGAGTGTGGAAGCCTAAACTTTCTCGTCTCAGTCACCAACAGAGTCTTGAAACATGGTGCCTTTGTTTTTAATCAGAATCTGGGGCTCATTAGCAGGTTTTCAGGATTCTATGACCTTCCAAGTCAGTGGTCACATCCTATCTAATGTCCTGACCCTTTAATACACTTCCTCATATGAAGGTGACCCGCGACCACACAATTATTCTCCTTGCTACTTAATTACTGTTATTTTGCCACTGTTACAGATTGTAATGTAAATATCTGTATTTTTTGTTTGGTCTTAGGCATCCCCTGTAGAAGGGTCATTTGACCTCCAAAGCGGTCATAAGAACCAGAACCACTGTTCTAAGTGTTTTTCTTCACATTGGAGCACAAGGTTTCCTTGCTTTAATTCAGAAATGTACACTGTTCCCTACATGTTAGTTGTTGGTTTAATTGAGACATCAATATCTGGAAAGCTAGGTTTTGTTCAACAGAGGCCTAGCATTTTAATCATCAAATGAAATCTTTTATACGTCCATAATACTGTCCAAACATTGAGCTCTTCCACCTCTTAGGAATCCTTTCTGGAGGTGCATTGGATTACTGTGATGTTGTTTGAAATGGGGTCATTCCATGTGGTCCTGGCTCTACTAGAGCTTGCTATGTAGACCAGGCTGGCTTTGAACTCAGAGAGTTCCTACAGCCTCTGTCTTGCAAGAACTGGGGTTAAAGGTGAGTGCCACCACACCTAGCCTAGATAATTTTTTAAAAATAATTAACCTGGAGAACTGCAACATGAGACTGTTCATTACTCCATTAATAACAACTCTGCTTCTTTCTTTAGATTAAAAGGAAATCTATTACAGGAGAGAACTGATAGAGAATGTTTTCTTTTGGTTATTGGCTCTATCAAAGTCAGGAATCAGCAGGTCAAAAAGCATCTATTGTTGCAGACCATCCAACCCTATGTAGTTTGACGGTCAGCCAAGAAAAGATGAAAACAGAACAGACACATAAATGACCCTGAACAAGACATTCTGATTGCCCTTGCTATTGAAAAATGGTATTTAATGTAAATAATAGTGTATTCATCCAGTGACTGATGAATCCCAAACTGCAGATATAGCCCTGTGGTAGTGTCTGTACCTATCATGCACAGATCTTTGCATTCAGTCCTGGTACCATGTAAACAAGACATGGTGGTACCCACGTATAATCTCAGCTCTTGAGAGCTGGAGGCTTGAAATTAATCAGTGTTAGCCTTGTCTACAGTGGCATCTAGCCCATAATAATGAGACCTCACTAAAAATAAAAATAAAGGAAGACAAGTAAAATACATTCTGGGGAGCCCTTCCTTCTTAGAAACCTGGGTGATTAAACTGTTATACACATCCCTATAGGAAACTGAGACACTTTAAAAATTCTGAGGCCACTTGTTAAAAATTCTGTTGCTATTTTTTTCATAACAACTAAATAGTGAATTGTTTAAACTGACCTCTGAGTTAACAGAATGGATTGTGTTGGTAAGCTGGACTCAGGTCACTCTCTGTGTGTCACATCTCTGCCTCAGAACCCTAAGCAGCTACACACAAATGCCAGAGGATTTGGTCCAAAGGTCCTGGCTCTCTGCAGCATTTGAAAATTACTATTGTACATTCTAGGTAGGACTGAAAGAAATTTTCTCTGCCAAGCAGAGTGAGGCAACAAAATTTCTCCTGCAGAACTAGCTGGGGCATATCTGTGTCTTTTCCTTTGCTGTACCTGAACTATCGTCTCTCTATCTCCATAGTATCACTTCCATCTCCACATACAGTCTGCTTCTTTTAATTCATTCTCCTCAAATTCACTGAACAT